AGGCAGGTGGATGATGAGGTCAGGAGATCGAGATCATCCTGGCTAACATGGTGAAGCCGGGTGTGGTGAGAGGGGCACCTGCAGTCCCAGCTACTCGGGAAGCTGAGGCATGAGAATCCCTTGAACCTGAAAGGCGGAGGTTGCAGTGAGCAGAAGTCGCACCACTGCACTCCAGCCTGGCCAAAAAGAGTGAAACTCCTTCTCAAAAAAAAAAAAAAAAAAAAAAAAAAGACTAGAGAGGAAGGGTCAAACAGGAGCGAGGAAGAGCTCTCTGATGAGAGTCTCAAAGACTACAGAAATGAGTCATCACGTGCCTCAAAAGTAGGCAGGATGACAGCAAAACACTCAGATACAACTAGGTTCAAACCTGGGCTTTGTACTTTACTATTTATACAACCTTGGGCAATTAACCCCTCTGAGTCTCATACTGATCATATGTAAATCACCAATTATGCTTCCACCTCTTATGGAGTTGTCAGGAGAAACTGGATAAAAAAAAAGAAAGCCCTAGCTTAGTGACCAACACATAATAGAGGTTCAGAAAAAAAAAAAAGGTCTAAGAAATAGACCAGTAAGATTCACATATATACTTACTTTCTTTGTGTTTCTAAACAAAGATATAAACATGTCTATATTAGGTTAACAATTTATTTCCGAGGCCCAGAAAGCCCTTATTTAGCTCTTCTATTAGTAGAGCCACAGGGAGTAATTTAGAAGGATTTGTATCAAATGTTCAAATGTCTGTTCGGTTCAATTAGCATGTAATGAACACCCTCCAGGAGGGATGTTTGGCTTATACTAGAAATCCTGGGTGCTGTACAATCAACTTCCATTTATCAACTCTATAGCTGATCTAATGATGCCTGAATGGTTTCATATGGAATCAACATCACAGAATGTTCTCTGATGTTAGTCTCCTATTGCCTATGCAGGAGAAGAGGAACCGTGCTTCAATGGCTTGTTCCCTTGACACATGCAAGCACACATACATGTCCCAAGCTTTCTAACTACCAGGCACCCTAACTCCAAATCACGCTATTTTCCATGTTTCCTCTAAATGACTGGCAGCTAGCTTCTTTCTGCCTCTTTGCCTTGCTAGTGATGCTCACTTTGCCAGGAATAACTTTCATCCTCCTTCAAAACACCAATCCAAAGCCTATTCCTCTTTTAAGGTCCACAATGAAACATAACCCCATCAGGAAATGCTGTCTATTGCTGCTTTTGCATTACAACACAATTGAGAATTGCTACTGAATCTGTATGACCTACAAAGGCTAAAATGTTCACTGTCTTACCCTTTACAGAAAATGTTTGCTTACCTCTGCTCTATGTGAATGGAGGTAAGTGGTGAACTTTTCCAGGGGCTATAAAACTAGTAGATGGAGAAACAAAATCCAATGTGGGTGCAGTGGTGTGTCCCTGTAGTCCCAGCTACTCAGGAGGCTGAGGCAGGAGGATCTCATGAGCCCAGGAGACCAGCCTAGGCAGCACAGTGAGATCCCCATCCTTTAAAAAAACAAAAACAAAAACAAAAACAAACCCAAATCCACACGCTTCCTAGGATGTGATTCTCAGTGCCCGACCTCTGAAAGCTGCTCTGTAAATGTTGGTTAAATGAATGGAATCACTTTTAATTTCTACAGGCATTTTACTACAAATCATGGATATGAAAAGAAATCCCTCATGGGACATGACAAAATGCTGGCAAGAGGGTAGCACGGTACTAGCCAGGCGCGGTGGCTCATGCCTGTAATCCCAGCACTTTGGGAGGTGGAGGCAGGAGGATTCCCTGAGGTCGGGAGCTCGAGACCAGCCTGACCAACATGGTGAAACCCTGTCTCTACTAAAAATACAAAAAATTAGCTGGGTGTAGTGGTGAGTGCCTGTAACCCCAGCTACTTGGGAGACTGAGGCAGGGAGAATTGCTTGAACCCCGGAGGTGGAGGTTGCAGTGAGCTGAGATCGTGCCACTGCACTCCAGCCTGGGCGACAAAGCAAGACTCCATCTCAAGAAAAAAAAAAAAAAAAAAAAAGAGAGTAGAGAGAGTAGCATGGTACCTCACATAGTTTTATAAAATTAAAATACATCAGAATTTAAAATGTGATATTTAGCAATATGGATACAGCTGGAGGTCATTATCCTAAGCAAATTAATGCAAAAACAAAAAATCAAATACTACATATTCTCACTTACAAATGGGAGCTAAACATTGGGTATACATGGACATAAAGATGACTAAAACAGGGAGGAAAGGATGGGGGCAAGGGTTGAAAAACTATCTATTGGGTACTACACTGAGTACCTGGATGACAGGACCATTCGTACCCCAAACTTCAGCACCACACAATATACCCATGTGACACACTTGCACATGTAACCCCAAATCTAACATGAATGTTGAATTTTTTAAAAATGTGATATTTTAAGATACAAAGCGAGTAGAGACAATGACAAAGTCTTTATAGAGAAATTAAACCTATGGTATAACTAAATGAATAAGGTAGAAGAGCAAAATATATTCAATTCAATTTAAAACAGTATTTGTGGAGTACTTCCTTTAAAAGTATTTACCAGAACACTGTCAACTATTATACATAGTTAATTTAAAAAAAACCTCTTCTATGATATATACTCTTTGAGCATTTGTTTCCTCATCTATAAAACTGACATATAACACCTGATAATATCTAGAAACCCAAGGTTTTTGTGATAATTAAATTAGAAACTGTATGTACATCTCTGAGACGCTGAAGATATTTAATAAAAATTTACTGATGATTGCACTCAGTTATGCCTCCTGCAATCTTTTTAAATTCTTTTGAGATAAGGTCTCACGCTGTTGCCCAGGCTGGAGTACAGTGGTGCAATCATGGCTCACTGTACCAAACTCAACCTCCTGGGCTCAAGCAATCCTCCCACCTCAGCCTCCCAAGTAGCTGAGACTACAGGCACACACCACTACCACGCCTGGCTAATTCCTTATTTTTCGTACAGACAGGGTCCCACTGTGTTGTCCAGGCTGATCTTGAACTCCTGGGCTCAAGCAATCCCCCTGCCTTAGTCTCCCAAAGTGCTGGGATTACAGGCATGAGCTACTGCACCCAGCCCCTCCTTCACTCTTTGTACTGTGTGCAGGGAGCACAAGTGGAGAGCTGATGGTGATGGCAGGGAGCGTGATTTTTCTGGAACATCAATAAATCATTTTCTCTTTTATCATATGACTGTTCATTTAAATGAAACTAGCCCCTTCTCTTCATGCTTAGAGGACATATTACTAACACTGCTGTTTTAATTCTATCTGATTAGTCCATCTCTCCAATTCATTGCATAAAAAGGAGACATTTGCTCAAATCAGTATTTGAACAAAAATGTGAAGTAGACAATTAAAAAAACAAACATATCCAGTTACTCTTCTTTCTTTAAGGTTGCAGTGAGCTAAGGCATCTGGCTGGGGTGCAAATGTGTTACGTTCTACAATGTTCAGTAAGCACTACCTGTTATTTGTTTTTTGGTACTGAGAGGAGTCCAGATAATGGAAAGATTGGAAAAAACAGCTTCTAATATTTGATTAATTTGATTAAATTGATTCTCCACATGGGAAAACTACGTGACTCTCCATTTCATTTTTTTTCTATAGATCCAGCAAGCCAGTTGTTGAGCAAATAATACGAACAACTGAGTGTGATTCTTGTCAGTTTTCTTTAGAAGGTTTAGGACACCTGGGTAACAGTGAAACCCTACATGTTCTTAAACTACAAAGTGGGCTGTTAGTGAATTTAAGCAGAATTTTTATTACAGTGAGTCTTGTCAAGTTGTTTTAAAGACATTTAGTCAAAGGCGCATAGAGTTCCTAATTAAGAATATCAAGCAAAAGCCGCAGAACATTTTCCCTTTCAGAAAAAAGGAATTCAGGCTGGGCGCAGTGGCTCATGGCTCATGCCTGTAATCCCAGCACTTTGGGAGGCCGAGGCGGGCGGACGAGGTCAGGAGTTCGAGACCAGCCTGGCCAACATGGTGAAACTAAACTTTAGTAAAAACATGGTCTCTACTAAAAATACAAAAATTAGCCGGGTGTGGTAGCATGTGCATGTAATCCCAGCTACTAGGGAGGCTGAGGCAGAATTGCTCAAACCCCAGAGGCGGAGGTTGCAGTGAGCCAAGATTGTGCCACTGCACTACAGCCTGGGTGACAGAGCAAGATTCTGTCTAAAAAAAAAAAAAAAAAAAGGAATTCAAATATGGCTCAAATCTGGAGTCTAAGCCAGCAGGTAACCATGTTCCTTTAAAGCCATCTATAGCATAACAATGAGCCCATCAATCATTTGCTCCAGGAAACTTAAGAAAAAGAGATGACGTAAGGCATCTGGCTGGGGTGCAAATGTGTTACGTTCTACAATATTCAGTAAGCACTACCTGTTATTTGTTTTTTGGTCTCCAAGTCTCTGGTTTGCTTCAGCACCTGGAGCAGCCGAGGTATCCCATTTAGTTCAGCCACCTCCAATTTGTTGTCATTGTCTTCAAATACTAAGTTTCTCAAGGCCCCACACACAGCTCGCTGAACGTCTTCATTCTGAACTTTTAGGAGCTGCAGAAGCTTGGGGATGCCACGAAGCTGGTTAACCTGGGGAAGAAGTAGATGCACATTTCTAATATTAATTTTGATGTGGCATCAAGACATCTAATGTAATACAAACAGATGAAGTTTACTGATGCTGATTAGAACCTTTCTTCATCAACAACTATGTGTAGCACAACTGAGATTCTTGTAGAATATACCCCAGCTATAAGGCAGTTATCTGTCATCAAGGAACTTACAGTAAATTCAGGAAGTTAAGACTGAAACCTATGAAATAATTGAAGGGGAAGATTAAGTGATAAAGGGTGCATAGGTACTAGTTAAACAAAGTTAAGTGATAAAAGCTTGGAGCATAATAAAAATGAAGAGAATTGGGAATCTAGGCAGTAAGGGAAGTTTTATTAAAGAATCCAGAATTACGTATGTTTTTTCCTAAGACAAAACTTTATAGTCCATATAAAATGAATAGCATCACTTTCATTAACAGAAGTAAAAATGCATTTACTATGTCAACCTCAGTAGTAATGCAAACTAACCCTAAATTCTTATATTCAATTGCATTGAGTATTTTAAAAGACTTATAAAACCTATGCAAGCAGTTTAAGCAGATAAAATAACTTTACACTTTTAAATGTGTGATTTAAAAAATATTCCTTCTCTCCAAATACGTAAGAAAGCGCATGCTATTAGAGAAAGGGCACAACCACCAATGGGAAACAAATTGATGGTTTAAATTTTGAAACCTATGGGTGTTTAAGAAGAGGCCAAATAATCCTAATCTAAACAAGGAGATTTCCTGTTTTAGTCTGAAAATATTATCTAAAGAAATTAAAAGGCAGACACAGTGTTGGTGAAATGAAACATTAGGTTGTAGACTGAAGGCTTTCCTTCTCTTAGGCTTCCATTCACATTTGATTTTGAAACTTTTAATTTGCCAAGAGCAGTTGGTAAAGATCTCATTTTCACTATCTTAATGCAGAAATTTTGAGGAAGTAAGTTTTCATGAATGGGCATGAGCTTCCCTTTCAGACGAAGCTTGTCACTTAGCAAGGACACCCTAACTGCCAGCAGTTTATGCTCAGCAGAGAGCTGCATGCCTGGCTCGGGGCAGATTTGCATATTTTCTATGTATCAAACTCTAGCCTCCCTTTCATAGACAGATAAATGGTATTTAGGACACAGGCTCCAGTATTACATATTCTTTTGACAGGACTGGAGAAAAGTCTAGAAAGGTGGAAATAAGTATCAGAATTGTAAAACAATATAAATAATAAAAGTAATAGCCACAATAACAACCACAATCATTATAATAAAGCAAAAATTACAACTCCTCTCCCTCCTACTTCTAACATTAAGAAGTGTCAGTATAGTGTCAGGAGTTTTATATACATTATCTAATTAATAGATTGCAAGAACCTTAAGAAGAAAGTACTCTTGATTCCTTTAAGGCTTCACTGGACATAACAAGGAATAAATACTTCCACTTGCTGACTGCCTTCTGAGGAGACATTTGCTGAACAAGAGACAGATGGGAGAGTGGCCGCAGCAATTCTGTTGGACTGTGTCTAAAGCCATTTAAATGCATGATAAAGATTTCTTAGCTGGCTGGGTGCGGTGGCTTATGCCTGTAATCCCAGCACTTTGGGAGGTCGAGGTGGGCGGATCACGAGGTCAGGAGTTCGAGACCAGCCTGGCCAACAAGGTGAAACCCCGTCTCTATTAAAAATAAAACATTAGCTGGGCGTGGCAGTGCATGCCTGTAATCCCAGCTACTCAGGAGGCTGAGGCAGGAGAATTGCTTGAACCCGGGAGGCGGAGCTTGCAGTGAGCAGAGATGGCACCACTGCACTCCAGCTCGGGCGACAGTGTGAGACTCCATCTCAAAAACAAACAAAAAAGATTTCTTAGCTGTCAAGTAAATCTGGTCCAACAGATTATTTCATCACTTCATCTATTCCTATTACAGGCTGAGTATCCCTTATCTGAAAATCTGAAATCTGAAATACTTCAAAATCTGAAACTTTTTGAATGCTAACATAATGCTCCAAGGGAGTAATTCAGATCTTGGATTTTTGGATTGGGAAGGCTCAACCAATGTAATGCAAATATTCCCAAATCTGAAAAACCCCAAATTCAAAATACTTCTGGTCTCAAGCATTTTGGATAAGTGACACTTAACCTGTATTATACTTCCTTAAAAGCAAAAAAAAAAAAAAAGAAACACACACACACACACACCACAATTTATGTTAAAACAATCTGTAATTCACATTTCCCTAATTCCCTAATTTTTATTTCATGGTAAGGTTTTAAGGTAAATTCATACTATCTCTTTTTTTTTTTTATACAGAGTCTCACTCTGTCGCCCAGGCTGGAGTGCAGTAACATGATCTTGGCTCACTGCAACCTCTGCCCCCGAGTTCAAGCAATTCTCCTGCCTCACTCAGCCCCCCTAATTGCTGGGATTACAGGTGTGCGCTACCACGCCCAGCTAGTTTTTGTATTCTGAGTGGAGATGGGGTTTTGCCATGTCGGCCAGGCTGGTCTCAAATTCCTGACCTCAAGTGATCCACCTACCTTGGCCTCCCAAAGTGCTAGGATTACAGGGGTGAGCCACTGCACCCAGCCGGCTTCCTCCTTTTAATAAGTTAAATTACAGAAAGAAAGGCCTTGACTGGCAAAATAGCACTGTGGGATATATACCCGTGTCTTCTGGGTGAACCCTGTTATTCTGTTACCATGCCACATTGCCTGTTTTTAGGTTTTTGAGAAAATATAAGTTTACAATATAAATTCACACTGTATAAGCTACATGAATGCCAGATATACCAAATCTTCCCAGTAGCAGTATACATATCAGATGCAAAAACAAAATCCTATTTGTCCTGAGGTACTTTGGCAGCTTTAGACATATTTTATTAACTTAATTCTTAATTTATAAGTTGTCTTCTTCAAAATATGATGGGAAATGGCTTACTGGCCATATTGTATTTCAAGCTGCAATCATAGAATTAGTACAAAGTGACATATGGAAGCCTCCCCAGCTCAGAACAGCTCCCTTACCCTGTCACCTTTATCACCTTGGCTTTCAGCACTTGCTCTAGCCCGGAAAGAGAGAACTACAGACACAGCAGTGCTCCGATAAAGGCTGAAATCTGGCTACAGCTCTACTTACTGTATAACTTGACTCCCTAGTGTCTGGTACTTATCCCAAGTTTAAAAATAGGCTTTAGTTACTTTCATCGATTTTATCAAGTAAATGGATATAAATCCTGCTTAAACGCAAAAAGTTAATGACCTTCTCCTTGCATTTAACTAAAAGATGGTAGGTGATGAATCCTATCCACAGTAGGACCAATGTCAAATATGCTGCTCTTGTCCTTAACATTCAGGGAAGCAGCTGGGACCAGAGAGGTTTGATGAGTTTCCCAATTATACTGAATCCTCGGGGTATTTTTCCCTCCTTTGGGAAAAGGAAAAAAGAAATAGACTAACATGCATGTTTCAGAACTTCAAAAAAGTTATCATTTGAGTTGGTTTCTAAATACATGAAAGGGCAGAGTCACATATGAGAATCTTAACTCTCTCTGTGGCTTTATTCTGATTATCTTTCCTGTCAATTATAAAATAAGTAAATGACGAGGACTTCTGGTTGCAAATAAGTACAGGGAACACACGGCCTCTGCTGAGGCAAAGGCTCTGTCCAGCCCCGGAGCCTTTGCTCTCACTTCCTCCTCCTGTCTGGAAGGTTCAGTCCACTCCGCCTCTCTTCCAGCAAAGCCCTATTCATCCTGTGGGATCCAGCTCAAATGTCACCTCCTCTATGAAATGTCACTCCCTTTCTCTGCTTTCCCTCCCATTAGAATTAATCACTCCCTGTAAATTGACATAACCTTTCAGGAAGGCAAGTGGCAATATGTGTCAAAACTTTTAAAATATTCACTTCTAGTAACCTTTATTGGGAAACAATGTGAAATGAAGACACAGACTAACATGCAAAAATAGTGACTACTTCTTTTATAATAGCAGAAAATAAGAAACCATGAATATCCAGCAGTGGGGGAAGACTGGTTGATAGTTGTCACATACCCATATGTTGAGGTATCCACAGGTGAGGCAGACCTGACAAAGACACTATTAGCCACACAGTTCCCTCACTAGTCAAATGGGAATTACTGTGTAAGATGAGCAATTACATGTCAGGCACATAGCAGTCACTCAATACAAGGTTGCAACTACCATCACCTTTAACAAGTTAACTGAAACTGGCCATCAGAGAAATGCAAATCAAAACCACAATGAGATACCATTTCATACCAGTTAGAATGGCAATCACTAAAAAGTCAGGAAACAACAGTTGCTGGAGAGGATGTGGAGAAATAGGAACGCTTTTACACTGTTGTTGGGACTATAAACTAGTTCAACCACTGAGGAAGACAGTGTGGCGATTCCTCAAGGATCTAGAACTAGAAATACCATTTGACCCAGCCATCCCATTACT